TTGTTGTCGTTCACCGACTATATGTCATATACTGGAGGACTGTTTGGTCTGTGGTTTGGCACTAATGGCAAAGACCTCATCATTTGGTTTGCGGAGAGAATGCGTTTGCTTTGGCTATAGTTTGCACACAAACATCAAAATGATACCAACAAAGTACATGTAATTCAACTAAAACCATAAATAAAGTTATAAATTCATAATTGCTTGTCGGGCAACAATGGTTAACTCAATCACTATTCACAATCAAATTCAATTAACAACGGAGGCACCAGGGTATGATAATTTGTTTTGATAACAAATCACAACTAAATTAGATAAAATATATTTTTCAATTTATCTATTATACCACACATAACGTAATATTCTGTTTACGACATATTTTATCTAATATAGGTGTAATTTTTTATCATTGTAAAATAATAGCTTTTGTAAATTTTGTGAGCACTACACCAAGTTATGACAATACCTGTACCTCTATATGTAAACTGTATAACTGATATAATTATAAAATCTATAAACACCATGTCAAGGTATTGATCCATGTTAATATTATTTAATGAAATTTTAAACATAAAATAAGCTTATAATACAATAGTGAAAAATGAAAAAATTACTTTCCTAACTATAATATTTAAAAAGTTATTCACATTTTAAAATACAACAATTTCTTACAGTTTGCCGTATATTTTCAGACTAATTGTTCAGCTATTTTTTCAACTTGTGCCAACCCACTAAACCGATTCCCAATCGAAAAATAAAATGTCAATTTAAAAAATCCATCAATAACGTCATAGCGTATCTTTGTTATTTATGGTTAGAAAAATTTTAGAATGCGATTTTTAGAATCAGCTCTGAATATAATGTAATTTAAAATTATTTTTATCCATAAATAACGTACTTGTTAAAAATGTAATTTATGGATTTTATTTTCTCAAAATTATTTTTTGATGGGGAATTGATCTAGGGCATAAATCCAATTTGTGAAAAATTGTGCATGTCAAAAATTTTAATTTTCAAATATCACCGTATTACCATTAAAAACTCAAGAGTTTCTCTTCATTAACTTAAAGTAGTTTACAGAAGCTATTAAAACAAGTTTTCATACTCTTGAGTTTTTATTGGTAATACCATTGAATTCAAGTTTCTATTTTTTAAACATCATTTTCTCGTACAAGTTAAATGTTTTAAAATTATTTTTGAATAGAATTAACAAAGCCTATATCTGTATATAATTTAGTGAAAAAACTAATTAAAAATCTTGTGTAGTTTTCATCTAATTTAATTTTGAAATATAATAGTTTTTATGGTAATACTAAAAATAATTGATTTAAACATAAGTTTTCAGGTTTGACATCATCTTTATTTTATAATTACTTTATAAATAATTAATAATTACAAGTTTTTTATTTATTATTCACCTTAATGTGTGAATTAATTTAATAATATTTTCTCATAATTTTGACAATAATATTATTTGAATCAGAAAACTAATTTCAAAATATTTATAAAGTTAATATTGTTGTTCGTATTAATACTAATAAATTACTTTTTCAAACAAAATGAGTGATGAATTGAATGACAGTTATAAACATCAAAGCAATAATCCGACTAAAACTTATGGCATACCTGGCCATCAAACGCACGATACAACTGGAGTGGCCGGTCATATGGTAGACCAGGAATCACCGCAAATGGTGGGAACGGGTGTTGTAGAGGGGGATAATAGTCAGGACAGTAAAAGTGCGGGTATTATGGGTTGTTTGAAATGTTGCGGAGGTTTGGCATGTTTTGGGGCGGCGGCAGGACTGGGAGGTAAGCGCTGTATTTAATCCATATTTTATCTCATTATAAAAATTATGTTTAATTTATAAGTTTAAGATTAGTGCAGGGTACTAACAAATTTTATTAATTTTTATATTTTAAAAGTATCAATGCTAATCGTGGTAATAGCACTGGTATTACTAGCAGTTGGTTCTCAATTAGTATTCATAATAATGGGTAATTATAATACACAATTTTTGCCATGTTCAATTAAATTAAAACAAATTAATTGTAGCCGCAATCTATAGAAACGAGTGTCCAGGGTGGCCACAAATACCCATATTGATGATATTAAGCGGAGGGTGTAACTTGGTCAACTTTAATCTGAGTAAAAATCAAAACAAAATTTATTTGTCACTCAAATGGATGTGGTATATATTGCGAACAGCATTATCAAGTGCATGTAGGTTCTAGTAACTCAGGCAACTACATATGACATTATGTAATTTACCTAGAACATTTTTTATTTTATGTAGTGATTGTTTACGTATTTATGGCCCGTTTCCCTAATTTTACTAACCGTAGGTCACCGGAGTTTTGTCATCCAACATTATATTTGACAGTTTATTGGATCCTGATCGTATTATTTGTATTGGTTGCCATTTGTTTGTTATTAGGACTTGTGGCTTTATGTATTACTTTAGTAAATCGTCGTAAAAACAGCAATGCAGAAATATAAATTAAGGTTAAATTATTTATAATACTGTATTAGTTTATTTAAAAAATTTAAAATACTATTTAATTTACTTTAAAATACTTTATATTTAAAAATACTTTATTAATTAATTGTTTTTAAAGAGCAATGAATATTTTTTTAAAAATTTTTAAAAATTATCTGAAATAGCAATGATTGTAGTGAAGGTAACTATTGGACGAGGGTTAAAATGCCCTTTCATATTGTACCCAGGCACATATCAAGTGTATAATAAACATGTTTATAGTTTCATAATCATTATTAAATAAAAATAATAACAATTTTGAGTAATAACTAATAAGTCTTAAGATTATATACCTCTAACTACTTAATAATTACAACATAAATATAATAGATTTTTAAAAATAAAGCAAAACTAAAATTCGTATATAAAATGAGTGATGAATTGAATATTAATAATAAACGTGAAAACAATAGTCCGGATGAAACTGATGGTCCACACGATCATCAAATCCATGACTTTACTGACCCGGACTCTAGTGACTACTGTTACTCCACTCTATATTTGTCGGCTTATTATGTATGCATTGCCTGTATTTGCGGTTATTGGGGGCATTTGTGTCATATTTGTATGTGGTTCAGCTAGCTACAATGTATTTATAAAAACTCAATTTAAAAATCTAAAATTTTTCAATAATAACAAATAATATATTTTTGTTAATAATTAAATTTAACTAAAATATAATGTAACTAATAATTATAAAATTATTCACTTTGATAAATGTGTTGATACGTACATATAGATTAATTAAAATGTTAATTGGTTAATTATATTGTGTGCTAATATAATTTGGGTGATAGTGTTTAGATGTGTTTACAACTCATTACTAACTATAATTTTAACTAGTAATTATTTTACAAAATTTTACAAAATATATTATAAATGAATGCGTTACATAAATTAATTTTTAGTATTTATAATATTACTATATATAACTTTTACAGGATTTGTTTTAAACCGTAGTCACAGAGTTAAGATATTATTAATTATATTTCATATAAATTTATAAAATATTTTACTTCATAATAGTTTCTGATATAATGCACCTGGAGCATTGTTATAATGTAAGTGTTAACTAATATGATTGTAGTGAAGGGAATCTATGATAGGGTTGTTACCGGCAAAACACAATACAGGTGCGTCAATATTCAGTAGGTTGCTCACAATTTCCAGTATATTGTATAACAATATAAGTTTGCCTAATGTATTTTTATATGATCTCATAAAAATGATATACATTTCTAATAATTAGTGAAACATTAAGTGTATTCTTAAGTAAACTAATATATTTTATAAAACATTATAAATATAATTTAATAACATTTCATACGTTTCTAATATAATATTTATACAAACAATTATTGTTTTAAAAATATAATCTCGTTTAAAATATTTAATTAAATTTTTATACAAAATGAATAATGAATTAATTGCTAATAATGAACACAAACATAATATTAGTGATGAAACTAATGACCCAAACGATCGTCAAATGTATGAATCAAATCCAGTGACCAATCGTAAGGATAATGTGGAGGCGTTGCCATTGAAGAGCACGGAAACTGTGGACGGGTATCATAGACAAGAGGGTAAGAGTGTGATTAAGGACTGTTTGAACAGTTGTGGAGCACTGACATGTTTGGCAAATTTGGCAGGACTGAGCGGTGGTAAGCTACATTTTTAATAAAAATAACAAATATTTTTTTTTAAAAATTAGTATAGATTATTATTTGTAACAATGTTTGTGATTATATTAAGAATTATAACTAATTATAACTTGGACTTTTTTGTTTTATTTAAGCATTATACCTAACTTTTTTTATATCTCTGGTATTATTATATTATGGCACACAACTACTATTCATCATTCTTGGTAAATAATTAATGTCCAATGATCATGTTCAAATTTTCTAATAACTTAATTTATTAATCTTAGGCTCAGTCTACGTGCACGACTGTCCCAAAAACCCAGCCATTCCTGTATTGATGATTATTGCGGGCATTTTTGATTTATTTATCATTAAATCGGACAAAAATTGTAGCAAGACACTTCGGATTAGTACATTCATTCTGGATATAGTCCGAACCGCTTTAATAGTTTCATGTTAGCTTATAAATTATCATGTATATTTATTTAATTTTTATATTTAATTCTTTATTTATTTTTTTCAATTATAGTGTCACTTAATGTGTTCAATGCTCGATACCCTGATTATAATGACCCGGGCTCACTTAATTACTGTCACCCTACACTATATTTATCCGCATATTATATCTTAATGATATTTGCGGTCATAGGTTTTGTATGTATAGCAATAGGAATAACCTTTTGTTTCTACAACTTGTTAACTAAAAATAAAAACTAATAATTCTGTCAATATATTAAATATATTTTAATTTAAATAATAATATAACCCTTACAATTAACATACATTAAATACTGTACTATATAATATAATATATAACTCAATTAGTATATTTAGTTATTATACAATAGAGATTATTCATCTAATATTTTGTAACATAGTTACCATAGAAATACAATGAAAATAAAAGTGTTAATCAATCAAAGTAATCTGCTTGCTAAGGTAGTTAAGGTATGCAATTAAGGAATCTATGGGTGGGTCATAATGGCCGCACATACCGGTGCATACACACATATTTAATAAACAAGTTATGGGTTAACTATCTATTAATTAAACTATAAATAGTATTATAGAATTTATGTATTAAAACTACAATAAATATTTTTGTATTAATTGTTAAAATTGTGTTTCAATAAAAAATATTTAATCAAATTTCTCAACAAAATGAGTGACGAATTGAGTGCTAATAATAAACACGAAACCGATAGTCCGGATGAAACGGATGGCCCACCGGATGACCAAATGGATGAATCCAAGGCAGTGACCATTCGTATGGATAATCCGGAGGCGTTGCCATTGA